GAATAACATGCGATGGTGGTATTAATAATGTTACTCTGCACCTATTATTATTTCGAAAAGTATAGTACACTTCAGTTTTATTTGGAAGTTTGTAACCTATGGACTTTTTAAAAAAGAGAAACAAGTAAAAAAGAGAAAAAGGTCAATGTCATATTATCTGGTGAATGTAAACATACTGCAAACGATATAAGTAACTGACATTTGTTTTGCTATTTAAATCTGTTGCACTTGCTCTTGTTTAACTGGTAAAGTAAAATATGTCAGATAAAGTTGGATGTACCCCAACTCATTTTCAATTAATTGTTATTTCCAGTCACAGCAGTTTATTTTGAGAANAGTGAGAGAAGATCCTGTAACTTAGTGCCGTTTGGGGGAAATTAAGTTTATTTTATTATGAAAATAAAATTTTGCATCGAACAAAAGCTGATTTTATTTGTATATGCTGTCAATTGCAGTTCTTAGAAAGAAAATAGCAATCGTCAAAAATCGCTCTAGGCGGGTCCAACACAAGTCCAAGGAAATTGCAATCGGTGCATCTGTACTGGACAATTTTACCGGTAAAAATAACTATAGTGTCTTTGCTACAATACTGTGGAAGGAATGGTGACTTTCATGCAAATTAACCAGTTTGCACAACTATGTGGAACTGAAATTATATTTGTTGTATATTTATTTGTATATTATATATTTTGCTAATGTAGTTATGTTCTATGTATTTTTCTACACACAATCTTCCATTTTTTTCAAATAACGTGCTACTGTGAAACGAGGTAAAATACGCTAAAATTATGTTAGTTTATGTTAATAACATACACTGACAGTCCGATCAGTAAGGATATCGTTAACGGTATAAATTGTGTATGTGTTTAATGGGTTCAAATTTCACAACCCGTGTAAATATTTGTAAGACTATTACTGCTAGATTTTATAAAACATAAAATTAAGACTTATAATGGAAGGTTATTTGAAATCCAGAACCAGTCTGCTTTCTGTGTACCAACTGTGTTTTGAAGGTTGCACTGTTTAGCATTGGGATCAATGAATAATACATTCTGGGCAAACCGATCCCACACAGCTAGAAGGATTACTCTGAGCTGCAGTAATCAGATCTCAACAGCAGTCGCAGTGGTACCCGACTCGGCAGAAAAGTAAACTGGGAGCTTTACTAACTCCCGCTGTTTCTATTCTTGTAAAGTCAGTTCAACTAATGTTTGTTCCAGTTTTGAAGTGACCAGAATACCGAAAAAATACATCTTTCTGGACTGTAAACAGAAAGCAGCTGATTTAAGGAAATGTATTTACAACAGATGAATGTCTATGGTACAAAAGAAATGCTTAACCATATGTTAAATGTTGTATGGTAAATGGTTGCAGATGGTATGTAATTCGTTAGTTTGTTAAACTGACCACTGAGCGTATATTATCAGGTACACTTGCATGCTAATGCGATCAACCTGCTATTACGAACAAGCATGTGGCTGCAGCTGAATATATACAGCATGCAGATGGAGTTAAGGGGTTCAGTTATTAGGCGCTTAAGCAGTAAAACTCCAAGGAGCCTGATCTATGTCGTTTTAAATGTGGAGTGATTGTTGGTGCCACACATGGTTTCAGCATCTTAGAAACGGCTAAGATGTTCACTCACTAAGGTGTCTAATTTACAGGGAATGGCGCAATAAACAAAACACATTCAGTCGGTGGCATTAATGAGAATGAGCAGACCATTTAAAATCTAATAGGGCCACAAATTAAAAAATTATAGCTCTTCACATGTTCATGTTTGTAAATATATACACCGCTGAAGCTGTGAGATGAAGACGTACACCTTTTTTAATATCAGTCAAAGATTTGAGTCCAATACAAAACAACTAAGGTACAACACTACTAAGAAAAATTAAATACGGAAACAGTAATGACAATGAATTGACTTCAGCCAGTTCAGCTACAACACACACGTTGATTGCTTTTAAGATACATATATTCAGTCACTCCATTAAAACATCCGACTTGAAAATGAGTTCCGTTTACAGTATTACAAACCTATATGTCTAAATCGTAAACTGGATACAGACTGCAAAATCTGCAAGGTCCTTTGACGAAAAGACAGGCTAAATTCCTCCCGTACCCGCATAAAGATGAAAAGGTGAAATCCCATTTCTTTTGCATATCTGCTTCATTATTGAAAACAATGACACTTTTTTTGTAGCAGGCACGGTACAATTAAACATGCATTACAGTCAGATGCAGTTACGATTTCAGTAATAATTAACTTTAATGTGAAAGACGCGGGTAGGGGAAATGCAATCACATCAGTTTGGGGCATCTGAGGGTCAAAGCTGTGGTCGAGAGTGTTTCTTTCAAGAGCATTGTCACTTTGAGACTTTCATAAGGGGACATAACGTGTGCTGTATTATATTACAGTGAACAATCATATCACTTTTTAACAATCCCGATTACGCAAAATAATACCACTGCTCATGGTGGGACAAAATAATCCTGTTATTCATACAAATACAACACCAAAAACACTATTATATCAAGTAATGGTAAAAAATGTAATATTTTAATTCCACACTGTAGAACATTTCAAGGTAAAATGGAAGATAGTGACCAGTGATTTTGGAAGTGCGGCTGTCACAGATTTGGAAGTTTCATACATCCTTACTCGTTCGGCGAAGAATTGCATCAAGCTATAATAAATTCAAGTTGTACAGTAAGCATTTACATATAAACACTATTTGTAGAAATTAAAAGTTTAGATGGATCATTGCTTCCTTCTTTCACCTCATTTAATAAATGTGTTGGGATTAGGTACTGGTTGTTAATGGTTAGCCAAGCAAGTGCAAAGTAAGTACCTCGTGCCACCTCTAAAGTACCTTCAGAAAAAAAGAAAATAAATACTGTACCGTGATGGGCATAAATCCTTCTGGAACTCAAAAAGATTTTTTTTCTGAGTATTGAGAAAACAGCAACAGGGAGACCGTGAAAATAGGTGTGCGATGTCCTCCCAGGACGTCTGGCTCCAGTTCCCCTCCCCAGCACCACCCCAGGGCAGCTGTACTGGTGGTCCGCGGCTCGCAAGCGCGCTGTCACCGGTTCCTCATCTACGATGGCTTTCTGGCTATCCCGGGCGATGCCGCGGTTCCCATTTCGCGGTGCCTCCGTGCGGTGCGAGCTTTACGTAGAGGAAAGAGAACAACGGGCTATCCGATAATCACCTTCCGCGCCGTTGGGAGCTCAAGCTGCACCCGGCTGAACAGAGACCCGCCTTCAAACGCTCCTGCGCATGGCCGAGGCTGTCAGTGTCGGTCAGTGTGCATGATAGGAGGAGGGCTGAAAGCGGAGTCTGTAAGGAAATACAGATCCTTGAGTCAGGGAGGGGGGAGTGGTTGATGAATGCATAGTGCATCATAATTGTGGGAGTGTAGGGTGGCATACAAAAATTCGATTGTGTCCATGCATCTTGCCCGCTGCCCCGCGGTTGGGAGACGTCTACCCGCGCCCCGCTCCGAAACTCAAATATTTGATTCACCAAGGCACCAGAGTCCAATAAATAAAATTATTACAGGCATCGCCGCAAGGCACTGTGCTACCGGAGATATAGAAACCAATCAAATGTATGGAATGGTAAACAGAAAGCGGCAGGACCATATTACTTCTTCCAGTATCGACGAAAAGATGTTTATTTTACGCAGCTTCTGCTACACAATGTATCAGTATCTTATCAGAGATTAGACTTCCTTGTGAGAACAATTTCCGGTTATTAAAGCAGTACATTGGTAGGAAAAGTAAGTTATTAGAAAATTATGTATGCTAATAGTAAATTAAAATATGCCAGTCTATCATCAAAAACCAGCAATTCTGAGCTTACACACTATCATATGAATCACCAATGTTTCAAAACCCATACAACTGACTAGAGGAGAATTCCCAAAGATATGGGGCCAGGAGACAGTTGGCTACTATGTAGATATAATGAGGCTTTGGGTCTGGGAACACAGCTGCAATCATCCTGGTAGAGTCACCATTGTTGAGGCAGACTGGCTCTTGGCCACTGTCTACTGACATCACATCACCGCCCAAGGACCACCTCGTCACCCCCAGACCACCCTTACACAGCTGGAAACGTCATCAAGGTCCCTAAACTTGCCGTTCTGCGATGCCAGGGTGGGACCTGGAGTGGGCGGGCACGCATGGAATGCGGAGATGCCACGTGGGAGCAGGGGGCTGAATCAATGGCTTGGTCTGGTAGGGGCATGAGTGGCCAGGCTGCAGGCCCACTGAGATCACAGGCAGATACAGTGCGTCACACAGAGGGGGGAGGGGCAGGGGAGTAATGCTCCTTTGTAAGCATGAGCAGTGACTAGACCAGGGGTCTCCAACTCCGGCCCTGGAGAGCTACTACCCAGTAGGTTTTCTGTCCCACTTGGCTTCTGATGAGCCACACCTGTTCCTGGTATTTACCTGAGAACAGGTGAGGCTCATCAGAAGCCGGGTATGATAGAAAACCTACTGGACGGTAGCTCTTCAAGACCGGAGTTGGAGACCCCTGAACTAGACCATCACTCCCCCCATGACCGTCTTTTGTGCCCAGCCATAAAACATCAAATCAGCACAGTCTCATGCAGCCACTCGTACGACAAGACATCTGAAACCCAGAGCCCATTACGGCAATACTGGGGGCAAAAAACACAATACCTCTAAGAGCAGCACTGATTAATTATCCATTAGGTCTGCAGCGACACAGAAACCGACCCCTAGCATTATGGGATGTCTGCCATGGGCACACTGAAGTCATGAAGCAGAGGGTTTCGGGGGGAAGCGTTCTACCCTCCCTAGCAAACACCTTAAAAATTCACAACATGCAAGTGAAAACTGAATACACTAGTGGGGCACTAAGCCCTGTGGTCTGTGAGCGGTGTAAGTGACAGTGACACATTCCGCAACGACTGTCCAGCTTCTGCTTCACTTCAGAAATCATACATAGTGCCCCACTGAGGTGCTTTTGCAGAATTTACTGCAAACTTAACAGTCTTTAAAATACATACAATAGGTAATGAAACAAGATTCAGATTACAAAAACCTCAAAGCGATTTTAGGAAATGAAAGGAAATGATTTCAACAGCATACTGTAGCTTGGTTGGTATTTTACGTTCTCCCCAAAAGGAAAGTCCATGTCCAGACATCTGAAGTCCTGAAGTTCTTCACATTTTTAGCCGAAGAACAAGACGTTACAAAGATGCTACAAAATGTTTCCCCTCTTCAGCTCTGGCACGGACGTGTTATTCCCAAACTGACAAGTCCTTAACTACAGTTACTCTCTCCCTGTGGTTTTCTTCTTCTTCTTCTTCTTGTCAGCCTTGCAGGCATCATCGTGGGCTTTTCTCTTGGCAGCAAGCTTGTTTGCCTGAAAACGGGAAGGAGAATCAAGTTAATGAATAAACGTATCACTTGCAGCCTCAGGTCTCAGCTGTGGCACTAGCAAGGTCACTGATCCTCCCAGGGCTCATTATTTAAATGACAAGTTTTCCATGGCAAAGTGCCTTAACCTCATTAACATTTACTTCCACTCACTACCTGGCTTAGGAGCTGGTGTGAAAGTTTTATACCAAGACTGAAAGAGAGAAGTTCCTGAGTATTTCCAAGCATCTCACGCTCAACACACTCCCATACATTTTCAATCCCCACAATTCCCTCTCCATCCTTCCCAGGATTCTGCAGATCCTCGGGGAGCCAGACTTACCTCTCGGACTTTCCTCTTCTTGCCAAACACGATCTTATCATAGAGATACTTCTCCTTTTTTTTCATCATCATGATGGCCAGACGCTTCTCCTCTGCTTTCTCCTCCTGCTCCAGTCGCATTTTATTCTCCTGTTTCACCTTCCCAGGAGTCACTGTGACTGACAATGCCTGCCAAGGAATAATGTTTTAGAAAGACATCCAGTTGAAACTTCACCATCCTGACAGTCTCCACCACAAGTCCAGCCCTAATGTCAAGAATGTCTAAAAAGACCAGCTTCCAGCATCGCCTTACCTTGCCCTGGGATTTCTGTTTCTCCATCAACTTAAGGTTTTTCTCATCTGTTGCCTCTTCATCATCCATATCATCATCATCATCTTCTTCCTCCTCTCCATCATCATCACCACCATCTTCATCCTCCTGACTGTCATCACCTTCGTCGTCATCTTCCTCATCTTCGATTTCCTCTTGTTCTCGCTCTGAACGTCAAGCCATTTGAAAAATTTCTTGGTCATAAAATGATCCTTATGCATCCCTATTTCAAATTCTTGAAAAGTATCATTTTAACCTTCAGACCTGATGGTCAAGAGCAGCTTGAACCTCACCTGGCCGTTCCCCACGCTGCAGGGACATCAGTCTCAATTTTTCTGGTGGCACATAGTCACCTTCCTTGTGCTCCACGAACGGCGACAGGTGTGGGGGCAGGGTTACCCCCGGAAAATAGTCCTCGACAGGTAAACGTATCCTACTGTTGACACAGTCAAACACCCACTGGGGCTGGATGTAGTATCTGTCAAGACAAATCAGGCCTTTCTTACTCTGCACAGATCTGAACATTAAGGAGCTCTTTTCAAAACTAATGGATAATGACCATTTTTCCCAATACACCGATTTATCCAACTTTAACTGCAGAATTGCATGCACCACCGATGCAGTCTAAAAGAAGCGAGTGTTTGGAAATGAAAGAGAAAAGCGGTCATTATTCATTCATTGCTGTTGATTGGATATAAAACAGGATCTCCACCAGAGAGAGAGACAGACTCAAATCCAGCATGTTATCAGCTAAATGCCCAAATATTTCTGCCCTTCTCAGACATGCTTCCATTCCTTGTATGCATCTAGTCAACCAACCAATTATGGGGTTTAGTGGTCAGGTGTGTTTAATACTGTGGCATTCTGGGGGAAGGGAGGACACCCAAGCCACAGGACTTAACAACCCGTGATGGGCCCTGAGAAACAGCTCTGCCACGAGGGTTGGGGCTGAGAACAATGCCACTGCGAAGCCTATCGTCCCCACCCACAGGAAGCCACGAGAGACAGGGGCACCATTGATGTTCTAGAGAAGAGCCCTGAAAGGGGGCTTTGTTGCCATTTGTGATCTGGGGCAGAGAGGGGGATGCTTTTGAGCAAAAAGGCAATGGAATATCAGGAGAGCCTGACAGAACAACGAAAAGAGCCAGAGATTCCGTTCACAGTGTCCTGTGAAGACCAGACAGGTTCACTGGGGTCATCTCCATACCGAGCTGCAAGACCAGATATGAAACACAGCTGCTTACATGAAGGCCACGGGACAATTACCACAGCAGTCACAGACGTGAGAAGCTCACGCTTTGCATAAACACTACAACCTCATTTGCATTTCTTTAGTGAAGTATTTACATTTGCAGCAGACACGACAAAGGGCAACTGTATCAGTAAAAGATAAGCTGATGTTAAGCTGTCAGTGATCAAGGCCCAGTTTAATCTATACCTGTTAATATACTTCTTGTCCACATTGGGTCTGTCCACGACCTGGTGTGTGATGGTCTCGTCATTGACATCATAAGTGCTGCCAATACACAAGGATTTCTCCCATGACACTTGAGCTCCAAAACACCTAAAAAAAGGAATTACACATTTTAAATAATTTAATGGACAAATAAGATGCCAGCCTGTTGATCAGTGAGGCCTGCTAAGGTCTTTAAAGGGATGTAACCTGCTGTTATGCGGTATGATACGGTGTTATGGGATATCCTGTCATCTTCTGTGAAGTGGTGGGACAGCTGACCTAAAGGTTATCCCAAAAACCTGCATACACACTGGCCCTTTGTGCATAGGACTGTCTACTCCTGGGTTATCAGGAACCAGAGGTGGATAGTTCAGGTTCAGAAAGAAAAAACCTAGACCAAGATTTTATTTCAACCAACCAGGAGATTATAATGACTCAGTCACAGAATTCAACTGGTCGGTTCAACAAAATCTTGGTCTGGATTTTTACTTTCTGAACCTGAAATATCCAGCTCTGTCCAGAACAGTGCGGCTGGGACATAGATGATGTTCTGTTTGGTGCAATTAAGTCAGTTCTGAGAAGTGTCACATCTACCTAAGCAGAAAGGCCAGGGGCTCCCGGGGAACTTCCCGGTTGAGGAAGAATTTCAGACCCTCAAAGAGATTTTTTAGGGAATCCTGCTCTTTCTGCTCCTTCTCCCGCACCACAAGGGCCTCAGCGTCTTCCTGGAAAGAAGGAAGCAAGTCTTTATGGAGGGTTTGGGTTTCATCATTGTTTTTGTAACACCTTTCCCAGAAACCAGGGAGACGATCCCCCATGCCTGACACATGCAACACCCTAAGCCATTTGGGCTGTTACAGCCAGTAATGAACCTTTGCGGCCTCCTTTGGAGCTTGAAAGGATACAAAGACTTAGCCGTAAACAAAATGGCTCCACTGTACTTCACAGACAAATTCATTTATAAAAGACTTGGCAAATCATATAACAAAGATATCATTCCGCCAAACAGTGTCATGTCTTAATTAAAATACTGGTAAACTGGTATAAATCTAAGTGTGGACTGTTACCACGAAGAGTCATAAAGACTCCAGTTATCAGAAATTATGGTAACTTGAAACAAATTTAAAGTTGTAGTTAGGGCACTTCCAGAAATGGCAGATTAATGGTGAGACAAGGGACAGAAGGGGAGAGAGAGAGAGACAGCTTGCTCCATTACCCCCTCCACAGGAAAGCGGTCAGGTTCTGCCTCCTCTTCCTCGACAGTGGCGATGACCCGCGACAGACAGGCACTCAGCGCTGAGAGTTTCTGAGAAGAGCACAGTGTCACACCCCAGTGTCGACTTCTGCCGCTACCCCAATGCTCAGTCAGACACGTATCAGAATGCTAACACACACACATCACACCAATCGAACGTCAGCAAGCACGAAGAAACCCATCTGACTAATTGGGGTTTTCCCGCAGCATTAGCACACAGGCCTCCATTACCTCCAAGTAGCTCTCCGAGTCCATGGCATAATCCTCCTCATGCTCAGCCTTCAGCTCCACCTCAGCCTTACTGTCCAGCTGGAAGGAGAGAACCATCAAGACGCATCCAGGCCCTAAACATCCCCATCCGCGACTGAGGGTGCGAGAGCGCCATACCATACCTTGGGGGGATAGAGCAGGTTCAGAGTTTGGTAAAGGCGGAAGTTGACAAAGCCCAGGAGGGTGGTGTAGAACTCTGTGAAGGTGGCCATCACCCTGTAATCCACATCCGTCGGGTGCTAAGAGCAAAAGGGACGCAAAGATAATATAATTGATTCTGGCAGCGGTTCTCAAACTTTTTTCTGTCATGCCCCCCTCTGGAAGCAGCTGACCTTTCATTCCCCCCCACCCATGTACACACCCAATCCATACCATCCACACCCATCAGTGTATATTATATATTATATATGTATGCCCGTGTGTGTGTGCGGGTGTGTGTCCACGTTTTACTTATCGTTTGTTTTGCTGTCTGAAAGAAAAAAAAAACCCAAAGGTACCGTTTGCTATTGCTCCTACATGGAAAATGTAAATCCAGATTGGTTCCACTAAGAGCATGTGAGCGGAGCAGGAGCAGAAAGATTTTGTCCAGACTGGGAGCAAAGGGGGGGGCGGGAAAACTGAAAAAAAAACTGGAGCGTCACCTTATCTCTCGCTCCACTTCTGCAGGGTTCTCAACTCTCATGTATATAGCGTGAGACTTAAATCTTACGGCAAATCTGTATTATTCCATTATAAACCTAAAAAGGTGTTGCGTAGTTTGTAACCCTATGGTATATGTACAGAGTAATAAAATTCCTACATACTTGTAAATGTGAATGCAGACCTGTCGTCTCGAACTGAAAATCTCACACCAGCCAGCTGACCAAAGTTGCCAACCCCGCTTTCACATACAGGAGCGGTACTGGACCTGCTCACATAATTTCTGCTTTAACTGAGCAGCCAAATTCACATCATTTTGATGCCAAGCTACAGTTTAATATAAAACTAAAATACAATGCAGAATGTTTTCTTTGTTGGAGTGAAGAGTGAGTGATTTCATTGGAGTGGAGTGAAAATTGACTGGTGCGGGGAGCGATAATGAGAGGAGCGGTCTGCAGGGTCGGTGGGGGGGGGGGAAGCGTACTGCAGAAATTCTCATTGCTCTGCTCACATGTTCTGATTCCCTTTAGCACACTCTCAAACCTGGGATTTGTTGTGCTTCGTGCCCCCCCTGCAGTGCCACTTGATTATGGGATATAATTCTGGGGACTCCTATGCCAAGAGCTTCCTAAACAGTCTATTTTTTAAATCATTATCTGTTACAACTTAGACGTTTAAACACGGCAGTTCCTGCAAATATATATTTTATGTTTGCCTAAATAAAGGCTTTACAAGAGCTTGTAGAAGGTAGTCATTGCTCAAAAAGTAGCTGTTCAGGAAGGGGAAGGCAGGAACCTGAATTACACTGGGGTGGACAGACAGCTGACACACGACAGAGACACACTCACGTTATGGGCAAACTGGTAGGGAACCACCCAGGTAACAGTCTGGCCGAGGACCTCTGCTTGGTAGTAAATTCCCTTGATGGAGAGGAACACCTAAACCAACAAAAATGAATGTAATTTCATAAATATAATGTTTTTGTAAGTATCTTTTAAAAAATACACAGAGCAACAGAAGAGAAAGGATGAGGGATCTCAAGATGTTATAAAAGAAAAAAGCAAATAGATACATTTACAGAGAACAGATTAGTGCATACATCGATCTGATGACATTTTAATTTTACATCCCGAGATCAAGCACGCAGACACATGCAAACCCTTTAGTGTCTGCTGATGCGGGCTGCCCACCTTCCTCAGAGAGCGAGACATGACAATGTAGTTCATCCACTCCACAGACAGGCGGCGGCACAGCTGGATGGTTTGGACGTGACACTTCCCTGTGCGGGCGAAGGTCGAGAACAGGAAGCACATGGAGAGGGCGTCATCCAGGTCACGGAGCGCATCAATGAAGGTAGGGTACCTGACACACAAATCCACACGTCAACAGAACCTTAACAGTTGCCCACAAAAAGTCAAGAACATCTCCTTATTATTAATCTAAAAATATGGGTATATCCAGCCTGCATTTTTCACAAGATTGCACAGAATTAATTTATATATGTAGTTCACCACTACTACTACTTTGTGTAGTGCTACCTAGTAACTAAAGTGAGAGGGCGCCCTCTGTTGGTCAATTTTAGCCAACCAACAAGACTCACCTTTCCTTCACAATGTGGTCAAGTTTGTAGACAGGTTTGTTTTCCCTTAACCTCTGAACTCCACCCCATTCTGATTTCCCATAAGCTTTCCGCAGCTTCCGAACAAAGACCTGATGAGAAGCAGAAGAAAAAGGAGCATCACCACACTTGCTGGTCTGTCAATATTCAAAACTGCAATAATATAAAAAATAATAGTTGTCTTTTCAGGCTGTTTATGATACAATGATACCATCTGGGCATCTATAAGCTGCACAACGCTTAGTATGAATGTGTGTTCAGAGCAGAGCAGTTAAGGTACTAAAAGAGTATACAGTCAACACACCTTATACTCCCTAAACTTTGCCACAATGGGCTCATGTAGTAGGAAGCGGATGTCTTTGACCAAGTAAAAGGTGCGTGGGGCGGTAGACCCCTTGTTGACTTTCTTCTTGCGTTTCGGCTCATGGGGGTAGATGCCCTTCAGGATACAGAGGCGCCTGGAAAGAGAGCCATTGACAACAATGCCTGAAACATCACATCGCCATTTTATTAGCTTTATCTAAGAGACAGTCTGTAATTATCATCAGGCAAGCATGGCATGAGCTCCAGAGCTATGGCCACGACAAGGCCTCTTTAAAAAAGCTATTAATTCAGCGTGATGTCATATAAACATACAAACATCCATGTGCCTGTACAAGGACAAACTGATGTCAGACGGATAGTATTTACCTGAAATCAGCTAAGCTTAGCTGCAGCTTCTTGCGAGCCTTGTTCCTGGTGACGTAGTTGGTGGCTGATCCACTTTCGTACTGCGGAAAAAATATTTATACGTATATAGACGACGCTATATCCAAAGTGACGTACATTTGAGTAGGATCAATAATTAGAATTAAGGGCCCAACGGTGACATAACTCGCGATTTAAACTGGCGACGTTTCGAACAGTCAGAAACCTAACCCAATGAGCAAGATACAGCCCCCAAAAGAGACGCCGATACACGGATATTTATACCCGCACATCTTGGACCTTTACACGAGCTGTCAACTAACAGTGTGTTCTGTCACACTGGTAATGCAATGGTGTTCTGTCAAATGAAACGGAGCTCTGTGGGATATTGCTGTAGCTAGCCAACTAAAAAGCTATTATGAATTATACTCAAGTAGAAGCAAACAATACTTAAAAAGACCCGCCCATGCTGATAATGTACAAATGGATATCGTATATCCAAACCACACGAACAAAATGATCGCAATACCGCAGTCAGATGGAAGTTTCAAAATGTTTCAAACGAGACCTGGCGAACTTACTCCGGCCTTCGGTGCTGCAAAAACACGGCATCTTCACCCCACATTTACTATCTCAGTCACGTAAAGAACCACACAGCGTTTCCAAACTTAACATTAAGGCGCTTACATTACCTTCTTTTTCTGTAAACCACCCATTATACTCTTCTTTCAGTATCTTAGCAAGACCACAAAAACAACGACAGCCCAGCCTGCTTACACCAGAGCACGGTCTCCGCTTACACACGTGTTGGGTGAGCTCTACCAGTAGGACCCAAAGGTTGCAGGCTGCCTACACATATGCCTGATTATAAATAATATTTTTTTTTACTGCCGTTCTGTTTGATACTTTTCGAGACTGGCGTCTTGACCACACTTTTCAGCTAAAATATTCTCTATTCATCTACAGGGATATCTCCTATTGTGTTTCAGGTAAACGACTAAGAATTCAATATCTAATTAAATAAATAAATGCATAAAGCAACTTTTTGAATCATTAATACTATGTGTGAACGATCTGTTTATTCTGTTTATTGGAATTTAAAATAAAAATTAATTTATAAATTATTCATCAGAGTGATATTGTTGTATCACTTGACCTGGTCATCTGACCTAAACACAGTAGAGATGGTTTTGGAGGAGTTTGATCAGACAGTGAAGGAAAAGCAGCTAGTGTGCTCAGTATATATGTGTGTCCTCCTTCAGCTGGAAAAGCATCCCAGGAGGCCACCTCATGAAACAGGCATAGAGGAGACAGTAGGGTCAGCCAGTCCCTGGAGGAATAGGGGTTAAGGGCCTTGCTAAGGAGCCCAATGGTGGGATCACTCTGCCGGCCCAGTGGTTTTGGGGGGGGGGGGTCCCAACCCACAGAACTACCCCCCCAACAAATGCATGTTCTTGTTTTGATGTCTTTATACTTGTTCTAAAATGTAGAGAACAGTACAAATAAACCTTTCTATGGGTAGGTGTGTCCAGACTTTTAACTGGTAGTGTAATTCTATAATTCTACATTGTGTTGGGTATATGCAGAATGAATATTTGCAGCGGAAGAAATATATAATTGTAGTATAAACACTAGAATATTTTTTTAGAATTTTTTTTTTTTTTTTTAAGTATTTCCAGTTTTGTGTCAGTGACTGACAGCACATTATATGAAAGTCGGCTATTTCTGAAAGCAAGAGGTCAGTCTGATCTAGTCTTAAGGAGGAAAGATTCCAAAAAGCTTTCTGAAATATTGGATCTTGTAAAAGAAATCAACATGCTGACATTTTTTGTCCAAAGTGTTATGAATTTGTACAGCTGGAGTTTACTGTAGAATTTCAGAATAATACAGCATAAAGCCTTCGGAAGTCTTTTGGGTGTTTGTGTCATTAACTACTGCATAAGTAGAACTTATAAAATGAGAAAATATATGACAACACTACTACCTTGTACAGAATAAACAGTTATAGAAGGACTGGTTGAATGGATAATGTAACACAAAAAGGGCAAAGGAACTTGACTATAATGCCATTTTTTGGGCGGGACTTGTGATGTCATAGTCTAGCAGGAGGAGGTCTATGCAAATGTGGACAAACTGGAGTATGGATTCTGCAGAGTAAAAGACGGGGGCGGAGATCAAGATTTTGACCTGATGAGGCTGTGAGCACTGAAGAGAGGAGATCTGTAGTATCTGTGAGGACCACACATTATATACTTTATCTGCAAGAGGAGAGCCCCCATTACAGGAGGTTACCTAAGAAAAATGGGCTTTCGAGATTGTCTTAGGTCATGTTTTCTTGGCTTCTTTGAATATGAGACACCAAAGGTTATGGTGGTAAAAAACAGAACTCTTGGGGTTATCTACAGAGGTGTACATTTACTTGTGACAACCTATTTCATATGGTAAGCATTTGCAATATTTCTCATTTGTGATATTCTTAACTGTATTGGCTTATAAGGCATTTGGACGTGATTGAAGAGCATTGTTATATGATTATTTTTTATCACAGGCTCTCTGTGATTGCATCTTTTAAAGTAGTGCTAGAAATTGTTATATTTTTACTGTGCAAAATGTTAGATGCTCTGTCAGGTTGCCTCAAAAAATGCTGTCAAAATTATTAACGTGTAAATTTATAATTTTATTTTATTCTTCAGATCCCATGATGTATAAAAACCATTTGTGGAAATGTAGTTAATTTGGTTAAAGTCATGGTTAAAGTCTCTGCCCGCTGACCATTACAGACCATTACCGTGTACTTTGAAATATGAAACCTGTAGGCCCATTTTGAGAAGGTTCCTGTTTTTCTAATGGTCTTGCTGTAAGTCACATTTGAAATCTCTAAATGTTCTTTCATTGGCCTTCAGAAAATCCCTGAGAAAAATGGCAAACATTTCTATTTGCTGCATCCTCTGATTGTGTTCATGTTGGTAGTTAATACGCATCAAATTTTCATATGCCTGAGAATTACGGGTTTGAGTTAAGTTAAGATACTGAAGGATAAGCAAAGGAAAAGTTGAGTTTTAGTGCTTCTCACTCAGATCAGATTTTAGATAATTTATCTTCTCATTAATGAATGCTTACAGTTGCCTGTGGGATCAAGAAAGTTTTTATCTGTCAGTCCCCCATGCATGCATGCATCCATCCATCCATCCATCCATCTATCCATCCATCCATCCATCCATTAGTAATGACTACTGGGGCACGTCCAGCACTGTGCCACCAATGGTAGCTTTTCCCTCTGCATTGTTATAATGCAGTTTTGCAGACACTTCCAGCCCTAAGAAGCTGTCTGGGTCCATTGTCCCTGGCAGGTATGTCTTCATCAGCCAGAAAGCGTACCAGGAGAGCGAAACACGCCCAGAGAGCTCCGTCTACACAAAAATGAAGGGCACAGCATTGCTGGGTGACATGGTGCAGGACATGGTGGAGTACGTCCGACCCTCGGAGGTAAGAAAAAATACGCGAGGTAATATTTTCTTTTGTGCTGTCATATAGGCGTGTAGATCCACAGAAACGAGCTGAAAACCATCACTTAGAAAAGCAGGTACAGATGCTAGCGCTTTTCCCAGAATCCTGAATCGTTTTCATGACCCTCTTCACCTTTCTCCGAGCATCTTTGCTGTCTCTGTCACAACTATAAGTATGGGAACAGATTTTAAAATACATAGTCACCCCCCCCCCCTTTAGGTTCAGTGGTTTGCCGACAAAGACATGTCAGCACAGACAGCTGCAGACCTTGAGGGGAACTGCAAGTCTTTTAAGCTGAATATCAGTATATTAGTGTTTCAGAAATGGGCCATGTGGTTACTGTGCAGTTTCAGTCATTTGCTGAGTTGAGAATCAGTCCCATGAGAATCAATAAAACAGGCAGTGGGAGCTGGGTTGGACCTAAATTTGGTCACATTTGCAGCTTTCCTATCCCCCAAATACAGGGTGGTGATGTCATCAGCACAATCCTGCGCAGAGAGGTTACACACGACCAGCAGCAGGGGGTGTGTGCAGAGGTGAGGGTTTTGTCCTGGGCCTGTGTAAGGCTACATTTCTTAATGCCCTTTCTATAGCTTTTAGGAATCCCCAAAGACACATTAACATATTAACATGGTCAGAGGTCCTGAGTGGGGGGTTGGGGTGTATTTTGGCATGTAGTCGTGTTCCATATTGGTTCGGAACAGGACGCTGTATTATATTTTTCAGCATGTCATGGGTTTCTAGGTTTAAAGGTTTAACATGTTATTAAACAAGATTAGTTGAGGCCCCTTTTTAGCAGAGGCTCCTAGAATTCAGTCTCTATAAGCCGGTGCATTAAAGTGCCTTTGGAAGCCCCCCAAGTCCCCCCAAGTTACACATCACCATGACCTCTGACTCCATTCACTTTGATAAATCCAAGACATTCAGTATTCATGGTATTATAAAAATGGTAATACATTTACTCTGATTCACTGATCAGTGATGATGAAACTGTCACGCGCGTCATGTAGCCTGTACTTTTCCATATAGTTCACCGTTATTGTTATAGTAAAGGTTAAACTTCTCCTTCCACTGTCTTGGATCTAATCCCAGAATTACTTTCTTGTATTAGCTTACATACATCCATCTTCCAACCAGTCATCCAATATAGGCCGTGAATTCTTGACTTTCCAAAAAATGTCAAACATCAAAATGTTTCATTAAAAATATGAAAATTAGAACACAGGAATAGATTTACTTGACCTCACCGTAGTATCTCCTTGATGCCTTCAGTAACTGACACCTTTTTTATCCAGCATTATTCTGTTCCCAAAGCCAACTGCACATCAGATTCGGACTGCAAGGCAGGAGAGGTTAACTTTGATGGCAACGGTAAGGCTTATGCATAAATTGTACAATGAAACCAAAAAAACATGCCGTTAAATGTTGTCGTAATCTATATTTAGTTTTTTCCAGGACCAGGAACAGGGCGCTGTATACCTTATTATAACCATACCTTTAAAACCTGCGAGATCAAGTCCTGGTGTCCCATTGAAGAATTTGCAGCTGTTAGGTTTGTTCTTCTTCTTGGGTGACATTTGTTCCTTCTGATTTATTTAACTTATTGTCACCTCCGGTCTGCAGTATCAGACCCGTGCAGAACATTCAGGTGCACCTTCTGCAAGTTCTCCTATTAGGTTAGGTGCCAAGGGATTCATCTGTTTACTCTGTGCTACAGAGAGTCAGCCCTGGTGGAAGCCATTAACTTCACAGTCTTCATCAAGAACACCATTCACTTCCCCAAATTTAAAGTGCTCAGGTAATAAATGAAACAAAATTACTGGACTATATTTAACTGGTAGCTAGCTTCATTACAATTTTAATTATCAGGGTCTGTAATGGAGAGAAAGTCCTTTCATTAAGAATTATTGAGTGTATGTTATGGTCTACACCAGTGTTTCTCAAACCATTCCTCAGAGTCACCCAGACTGTCCATGTTTTTGCTCCCTCCCAGGTCTCTGTTAGACAGTTGTACAGCAAAATAGGAAAAATGTGCTCTGTCTGGGGGTCCCTGAGAACTGGGCTGAGAATCACTGGTCTACACCAATAGTTAAAGTGCACTAGAGCTGTGATTTTTTAAAAATGATTTTCTCAGTGGTAACAATAAAAACCACATTGATGGATTAACATGCTTTGTGCATTTGGTTCTTTACAGAAGCCCAGAATAGCTGTGCTTGCAATAATTGTTTGTTAACGCTGTTATCTTGAGAAAACAAGATAATAATACAAAGACAAACAAAATGTAACGCCACTGCGCCTTCATGCCATGGGCAGCTCCTCGTATATGTACTGTATCTATGCTACTTAATGCATGCATCCCTCTATTCAATGTTGGAACTGAGTGTTGTACCAGTGTGGTGTTTAATCATGGGGTGCATGTCATGTCCTGTATGTACTGTATGTTGCAACATGCTCCTGGGAAATGCTGTCATATGTTATGCCAGCATGTACAGATGACACGATAATAAAGATACAGCATTAAAAAATGGCATTAAAAATGTGATTGCAAGCATGGCCGTTCTCGGCTTCCGTAGTTCTTCAATTAAGCTTAATATGTTTTAAACGTTTAAACAAAAAAAACAACACATCCAACTTCTCAGGGGCAACATCAAACCAAACAAAGCAAGGTACCTGGGCCGTTGCACCTACAACGAGGTGACAGACCCCTACTGCCCCATCTTCCGGCTGGGCTACATCGCAGAGCAGGCCAGGGAGAAGTTCAGCGAGCTCTGCAGGACGGTAAACTGCCCGGATATACACCGTCTTAACCATATAGACCAGTCACAGGAGAGTTCATATAAAAATATCATGCTTTCTATCATGCACTAAGAATCTGCTATTATCATCATCATCATCAGCATCATCCTCATCATCTTTATTCTGGACAGTGTGGGAATATATGTGCATTGAAACTGCATGTTGTCTTGTCAGGGAGGAGTGATTGGGGTCTTCATCAACTGGAAGTGTGACTTCGACATAGATCCCTCCAACTGCGTTCCCACTTATGCCTTCCGGCGTCTGGACCTCCGCAAGAACCTGCCGAGCTCCGGGTACAACTATAGGTGAGTGATTCCTCCTCTCCATTATCTTAGGCCAGCTGAGTAACTTTCACCATGACAGAGAATTTCTCAGTTGCCCACAGTTGTAGCTAGACAGATGGGGCAGGTATATGTTATTTATTTGTGACCTTGATCTTCAGGTTTGCAAAATATTACAGAAGGAATGGCAAGGAATTCCGTACTCTTATCAAAGCCTTTGGGATTCGTCTGGATGTCATCGTCCACGGACACGTAAGTGTTTCCGTCTTTAAAGACCAAAATAATACTCTAATACCTCACAAGTGTGTGAATAAAATGTGATTCTTTGCAGGCTGGGAAATTTAGCATCATTCCAACTATTATCAACATGGTCACCGCTTTGACATCAGTTGGAATCGTAAGTTTTGTTTCCAAGTTTATTAAACAGGGAGCGTTGACCTTATACAAATTAGCTAGCAGAAATGTGCTTTTGCACAATCTCTCAGCATTATCTCAGCCTTTGTGACTTTCCCCCCAGTGTTCTGTCATTTGTGACTGGATTCTGCTCACGTTCATTGACAAGAATGAGGTCTACAGTGAAAGAAAGTTTGATGAGGTTAGGTGTTTTAAAATTGTTTTTAAATAATAGATATCATTAAATAATAGATTAGATAAATATTCTATTGTTTCTTTTAAATGAGAAGCAAGGAATTAATTTATCTATAATTAGATATTATTGTTATGTTGATGGTAAAATAATTGTATAAACTTCTGCCTAAAAGGAGAAATATTAACTGTTTAAAATTAGACTATTTTTCTAGTTAACAGAAGCAGAAAATTTGTTCCAAATTCACATAGCCAGAGATATAATTTTACTATAGCTATATGCCTATATTACTGACAAACGCTATTCTTAGATCACTTAATGCAGCTTTTATCCCAGATAAACATATATATATTTTACAATGAATATATTACAATTTGATTTCTTTGTAGGTCTCTGAAGAATCGCCTCCACCCACATTGACCGAGTTCACCCTCACAAGCTATGGCTCCACCCACTCTGACCTATCAGAAGGCGTGGCACTGTGACATCATCACTGTCAGCATTTTAGAGGGCACATTTCACTGACCCACAAAGAGCTTGCTGAGACCTTTCACTATAATCAAGATTCTAGACTCCAGCAAAGCCCAGCTCAGAGAAGCATTTCCTTATGCCTACAAAGATTAATGAAATTATTTTAAAGTTAGCTCTACTAAGTATTCTCATTTACTCTGAGGAAAATTTAAAAGCACCACAAAAAAACCCTAAAAACACATATTTGAAGTGAAACATTCACATTTATCTATCTGAGTTCTTTACATCTAGAATTTACCATAAATATTTTTGAAAAACTTTGCTTTATAGTATGGAAGCTGACCTAATAAACTCAGAAAGGGAAAGACATATAGACCAATATAGAGCATATAATTTCAGTGAAATATCAGTACATGAAATTGAAAGTTATTCTTACCAATCCTTCACATACCATATCTGTTATATGCATATGCCTATATATATAAACATACATTTACATTTCCGCATGTAGAAAGTCACATTAAGAATTTGCGAGGAGTTACGAGTCACAGAGTATCATGGTCTTCACTCATTCATGGAGATGACGACTTACAATCCAATAATTAACCTGCACCCTTAATTACATAAATTCATTACCGAATTAAACAGCTGTGTGGTAATTGCTCTGTATTAATATTATAAAATTTAATATTGGAACCATTTAGAAACATGTTTGGAGGCCAGTAAAACCTGTATAAACAGTACTCATAAAAGGCAACCTTTCTGCAAAATATTAGTAGCTGGTTATATTTGTTATACTGATACATCTTGCACTTTCTATTTGTATTGAAACATTGAAATGAACTTCAGGCTTTGGATAATAATTAGATAGCTGGATGGCATCTGCAGGACATAAGGCTGTGGGGAAGAAATAAGCCACATACAACATTAATTTAATACAAATGTCTCCTACGGACAGAGAGCAGCATGGGAAGTAAGGTCTTTATTTACGTCTACGCTGGTCACAGTCTAAGGAGCTGGGGTGGCAGTTACCCCAAGATGATCATTTTGTCTTACAGAAAAGTGATGTGGGCAATAAACAAACATTGATTAATTGAGAAAGAGTGGCTACTGATACTTTTTCCTATGACTCAGAGAAGCAGACTAAGATTATAGGCTGAAACAGTACTAGATTGCTACACATCTTCATAACTAAGCCATTTCTCATATTTTGTGGCTATGACTATCACTAATTGACTATCAGTTTAACAAACATAGGTTTTTCACTGAAAATAAAGGATAAAGGGATAATTCCTCAGTAATTTAATCTGATACAGGAGTTGGTCCCTCCACATGATGTCTGGGAAGCACAATACTGATGAACTTCTGGTAAAAACTTGCAACGTGATATAATACACATCCTGAACTAGATCAGGAGTGAAGTGTCATTTTCCCAGGCTGTGGCCTGACCGAAATGGTCTACTTTAACCAACAGGGAGCTGTCCTTTAAACAATATAGGCCAGACAATTTGGATACCAATGTTATTACATTTTTGTGTTACAGTAGCCTTTCCAGAAGGTATCTGAGGAAGAGAAGGAGAGACAGGGAAGAAAAACTCTCACTCAGACAGATAATCTGATAAAGGACATTTCACACTTAATGGGTTTCTCTAACAAGATTGTGGGGAGGTTGAGTCAGACTGTTTTCTTAAGCGAGTGGGGATGAGCCACGCATCGATCTGGAGGCTGTCTTTCGGGCTGTGGTTGTAATGGATCCATCCTCACGGAATGAAGTCGTGCTTCAGAAGGCCTGCCTTTAAAATGGGGGAGGGTAGGGAGGTAACCATAAAAAAACTGCAAAAAAAGACCTGATAGCACCTTCAAAATCTGATCCAAATGATGTCTTATAACCTTTAAGAGGATTTTATCTTAAAATGTATCCATAGATAGCAAAAGTAAAAAGTGTAAAGAAGCAAATTGTTTGAAAATATTACTAATAAACTTTAGGTTTGAACTGTGTTAAATCATAATCAGAATACACAATAGGTCATCATTTGAGAACTGAGAACCACGTACTTTATGCAAGAAAGTAAATTAATAAATAAAATAAATATGACAGGCTTTTAGGTTGAGATTGGTAGAGATTTCAACTCATTCACAAAGTAAAAGCACCACCAGTCCAGGTAGATGTACAAATATATTTATTGATGATTTTAATACAAATACAGATAAGAGACACATTTTTAAGACCATGGAGGTTCTGTATGAACCCAGCCTGAACCCACAGGTCTGCCAAAATGCCTTTGAGAGAGGGGAACGGGTCAGCCGGCAGAATCAGTCAGCAAGTTCTAGACTGGTCTGCCCAGCTGGGGGCTCATACACAGCAGCCAGTCGATGGTCTCCTGAAGGAAGCTCATGCTGTAGTGAGTGGCGATGTTCCGGAAAACACGGACTTGCTCCGAGAAGCTCTGGGGGGATGGCAGCAAAGACATTACATGTCGGATGTCTGCCCTTAACTCAACAGAAACATCAGATCTCATTTTCACTCCGATATTTACAGCAAAGTAAGCAGGGGTAGCGTGTGGCTCTGCTCGTGATCAGAAGGTTACTGGTGCAAAGCCTGTGATTCCGATGTTGTGCCCTTGAGCAAGAACCTTAAACCCAGAGACTGGCTGGCTGACCTTGTTCTCTCACTTGTATGTCACTTTGTATAAATGCGTCTGTTAAATTTATGTAATTGTGCTGCCTGACAGCTTAAACTTTATACCTAGCTTCAGATCAGGAAGTTTAGACGGACCCTCATCATTACATGAGTAAATAAAAAAAAAAAAATCTATATATATCTTTAAGGGTGCTTCAGGGCCAGTCAACCCATGAGGCAACACAGGTGGCCGCCTAGGGTGGCAGCTTTTCACATGCGCCAAATTAGCCAGGCAATTTCACTTGTATGTGGCTCATGTCCCAAGAAGTATTCGAGACTTCTGCAGTGCCAACAAAGAACAGGATGGAGGGAAAAGGTGCCAAGGACCCTGTTAGGATGGGGTGCCACATGGGGTTCCCCCGGCCCTGGGTTGGAGTGAGCTCTGAAGGCGTTCTTTGGATTTCAGGCGATGACGGCCTGTCCTGCTCACCTTCAAGGAGTAGCTGAGGCTGAAGTCTCCAGCGCAGTTACAGTACAGCGGCATGTTGGCTTCCTTCACACCTTTGCACTTTGCACACACCTGAAGCAGAATACAGCCAGTTCCAGAGGCTGCTTAGGTGGCTGACATGTTTAATATGAGCTGCTCAACATGTAATTGTAAATCTCTCAGAACATCACTAGGCATCTCTAGTGTACAACCAAGGAAGACACCTTGAATTCAAGACATCCACTAAATTTATATTGAGTCTTTTCAGTAAAGGAGAACATTGGGGGTCACCCACCAGATCCTGCAATGTGTACGTCATCAGCTTCTTCTGAAAAGCCTCAACCAGGCTCATCTCAATAGTTTCCGTTTCATACTGGGCCTGGCAGTTGGAGCAAAACCACTGGGGCATCGTGGAGCTGTCCTGGAGAATGGTATGGGGACAGTAAGGCACAGAGGAGTGGGGAACACTACCTAAAACCTCACAAAACCCATGATGCCCCTGATGTTATTTAGTGTTAAAAATGCCAAGTCAGACACTAAATGTGACAGATTATTCATAGTATTTCAAATGCTACAATAATCACAACACACATCATTATACAGCTACCTAATAGGTTCTTGTCTTACAAACTCAATAACTCTGGTCTTGTTTGGAGAAAGACCTCACATGAATGAGATGTTAACACCAAAGCTTTTGGGTTTAAAATGGCATTCCCAATATCCTGACCACCAGCGCTGACCATAGCCACAGATGGGTCCTTGCAGAGGTCCAGGTCCCGGCAGAAATTGCAGTGGCGGCAGATGACCTCCGGCAGGATGTAGGAGCTGCAGGGGTCATGGAACTGGGCCTCCTCAGAGAACTCGCCCACGTCCAGCAGTCTAAGGAGGTCCCTCTTCAACTTGTTGACCTGGTTGGTGATGTTGGCGTCCAGGGAGAGCACCTGCAAAGGATGGCCGAGTCAAGGGACAGCCAGGGGGTGAGTGTGAGGTCAACGGGGCTCTGAGCTGGCGGCCCCTCCGCTAGCCGCACTGAGCAGGCACCTGGCAGACATATTTGACGAACTCCAGTGCAGGGTTGCTGAGGGCCAGGTGGGAGCCCGGCAGGACGGGGAACATCTCAGAGGGCATGGCCCCGCTCCTGCTGCCAGTCACCTTCTTCTGGATCTTCTGGGTGATTGTGAAGAAGTTTTGGGTCAGCTCGCTTGACACGTACTCCTGGGAGAAGGTGATCATGCCTGGGAGGTTGAAACACACAACTGCTGAACATCCCCCAAGATAAGAACATAAGAACATAAGAAATTTACAAAGGAGAGGAGGCCATTCGGCCCATCAAGCTCGTTTGGGGAGAACTTAACTAATAGCTCAGAGTTGTTAAAATCTTATCTAGCTCTGATTTAAAGGAACCCATGGTTTTAGCTTCCGCTACACTAGCAGGAAGACTATTGCATACTCTGACTACACGCTGTGTAAAGAAGTGCTTCCTCAAATTTGTTTTAAAATGTTCTCCCATGATGGAAGATGGAAGTAATAAAGCTTTCAATAGCAATGCAATTATCATAATTATTTATTGTGCACACAGGCTGTAAAACAGAGCAGACTTTAAAAATGGGCAAGAAATTTAACATAAAACACGCAAATTTAATTAGTTCTAACACTTCCAAACTATACAGCTGCCTTTCACAGGAGAGCTTACCAGGCAAGGCACTGGAGTCTCCCACAGCCTGCTGGGTAATCTGGCTTCCTCCCCGCCGTTTAATAGGTGTGGCTCCAGGGGCATTGCGCCTAAGCTCCTCCTTCATGCTGTGATAGACGGCCGCGATGTAAGCTGGGGATCAAATTGCACAAAAATGGAACTGTAAGCACGTCGCTATCGGGCAGCAGAGACAGACGGCGGCTTTCATGGACGTTTAAGACAGACAGTACCTGATATGATCATTAAAAAGTATTTTTGACAAGAGGCTGTCTGGGGAAGGTACTGCATGATGTTCCAGTTGCTCTCAATCAGGTCCTCCACCTCAGTTTCTCCATCGCCCTCATCTTCTGGTGCAGCTTCCTCCTCCTCCTCCTCATCATCATCACTGCCGGCTTCATTTTCCTGCTTCTTCTGTGCTTTTCCAGCCTGAGCCAAAAGCAAGTGACAGCTTTTCGCTTTCCCTTCCACGTATACGTCATGTTCCCCCCCCATACACATAGGTGACAGACCTTGGCCCGACTTACCTCGTCATACATGATGCTGGATGGGAGCTTCCCCTTCACTCCTCCATTATTGGCCAGGTCCATCCACAACAGGAACTCCCAGCAGCGGGAGAAGGAGATTGAGAGAGAGTGGAAAATTTCACGAGAGTGGATGCTAGGAGAGAGGAAGAGGACAAGTCAACTGAGCCGTTTGACATTTAACCATTTCTATTTCCAGAAAAAAGTTAGTTTCCAGTTGTCTAAGATAGTCAGGGTTCCTTAATGCAAGGAGAGGAAATGAACTAAAAATAAACAGATGGAAAAACTAGTGGAAGAATTAAAAATTAGACAAGAGAAATGCAGCTTCATCAGTGACTTGATGTCAGTGATCAAACCGGCAGGAAGTCAGATAGACCAGCCAATGGCGAACAGTCTGGCAACCCTGCTGACTGTGGGTTCTGATGGGTCATTTCCCTGCCCCTATAGGTCACGTGTCACAGCAGCCCGGCTGTCAGCTGACCTGTTGGTGATGTACTCCACGTAGGCGACGGCATCGCTGATCCGACGCTTCTTGGTGCACAGGATTATCCTGTTGAAGTTGCCGTAGACAACAGACGAGCCAAGGCGCTTAAACTCAGCCACTAACCTGATGGGGGAGAAGACAAAATGAATGGAGGGGTCAAGCACCCTATCTGCTGCTGAGGGCTAAATTCGATCATCAACTGTTCTCTATGCCAGTTTGTGTCAGTTAATATTACTGGGGGGTGGCTTTGCCAGGCGGGGGGGGGGGGGGGACTGATCGCACTGTCCTAGTGTTTGACACTTGCAGGCTGCCTGCTGGGGATCCCCAGTATGAATGATCCCCATCAGGGAGCAGAGAAAATTTTTGTTTGGTCTGGATATGGATCGGAGTCCATCTAACAAGGAGGCCCGGTGGTTACTGCTCAGTATCGTGAAAGTACAACCAGTTGGGGGCGCACTCACTGCAGGAAGACCTTCTTCATCATGTTGTGCAGGGTCCGGTGCAGCGCCGGGTCGTACAGCAGCGAGCTGGGCGAGCACAGCCAGCGGTAGAAATGCACCACCTGGTTGTCGGCGTAAACGTTGTGGTACTGCGTGATCTCCCGCACCCAGCCCACTACCATGCTCTTCAGGATCCTGGGGATTGGGGGGCACAATGCACATCAAGCCACAAGAGGGCGACTCAAACAACTGATGAAGACCTTCATCAGACCTGCATCAAAGTAAATGCAAAGGTTCCAGTGCAGAAAGAAAACCGTTCAGAGCTCAGTTTATTTCAGTGATTGCTTTTTTTTTTTTTATTATTATTAAATATTTTTAACTTACTTTGCTTTTATTTGGCCACTTACATTTACAGCATCATAGTACTCATGCCTGCCATTACATCTGTTTGTTGTTGTATGTGTTAAAAGAAATATATTACATTTAGGTTATTTTATGTTGCTACGCATTTTTGCTGAAGCAATCTGGGCCAACAGCCAGACCAGTGCTGGTGCATACGTCCATGCGAGCCAGACTGCAAGCGACGCCCAAAGCTGCCCCCACTCACCTGAAGGTGTTGGAGCAGAGGGCCGTCTCGTCGTAGCTGGCGACGGTGCTGACCCCCTGGTTTCCTGCCATCATGTCCTCCAGGGAGCTCTGCTGGATGACGTCGAAGCTCACGCCCAGGCTGGCTCCGCCCTCCATGTCGTTGACGTGCTGAGACTGCAGGATGGTGTTCACGGCCAGACTCTGGAGGTCTAGCTCCATGCACACTGAGTGTGTCGAGAGAGAGAACCAGACAGAGAGTGAGACCCATCAAACACATGAAGTCATGCACAAAATCATAAACGTCTGCTATCAAACTGTCGATCCAATCACCTCACTCCGGACAAAAGGGCCCTTCCTGGGACCCAACTCACAGACCTCACAGGGGCAATTCGAACAGCTCATGCCCCACCTGCCTACCTGTAGAGTAACAGCCATGCGCATTGATCTCCATGTTGGCCCGCTCCTCACTCTCCATGACCAGCCGGCTGTCGTCGGCCTCCTTGCCCCCCAGGTCGGGCCGTGCCGTGGGCGAGAGCCACAATAGGTGGTTGTGTTTGCGTAGGTGCCGGGCGAAGAAGAGGTCTGAGCCGAAGATTGACACGTCCTCGGGGAGATTCCCCACAGGCAGGTGGTAGTACCTGGGGGGGGAGGTTTGGGGGCAGAAGGGGGGGGGGTTGAGTTAAAACTGCTTGAGGGCCTCGCCCAAAGGCCCTGTAGTGAAATCACTCTGCCAGTCAAGGGATTTGAACCAGTAACCTTCTGAGCACCGAGTCCATACCTACGGAGCAATACAACATAGAAACAGAGTCTAGCCTGATTAAATTAATTGCATGAAATCTTTCAAAGTCTCAAACCCTGGCTATGGTGTGATGCTCAAAGTGGGCTAGGACCAAAAAACCTAAAGGATAAACGGCAAGTCCCAGTACCTGGCCATGTCGAAGGCCTGCGACAGACAGCTGTCCAGGTTGAGGTAGTGGCGAATCATGCGCCGGGCCCCGTGCCTCTGCCAGTCCAACACGCTGTAGCTGATCTCGTCCACCACGTGCACTGGTACCACCGGGAACTCCTCCAGCACCGGCATGGCAGCTGCCAGCCGCCGCGGCTCCCGGTTCGACTGTATGGCAATAAGGGTGGGGCCACGCCGTTCCTCCTGGAGGAGGAGTCTGCATCAGGCATCATGCAGGGAGGACCGGGTGGTAAAGGAGGTGGTGGACAGACCTTGTAGTTTAGAAGGAGGCGCTGCAGAGCACGGTCGATGGCCTTGGGGTCGCTCTCGGCCCGCACCTCGAAGGTGTGTTTCTCAGGGGGGAGGAGCTCCTCGCTGGTCTTCGCCAAGAGCGCTGTGCGCTCGGCCCCGTACAGGGCACTCAGGTTGGGCATCTGATTGCTGCGCACCTGAGGGGGTGGGGTGGGTGCAGTCAGGCATGCGAGAAATGAGGCTTTGCACCATTACTGCAGGCAGGATTTCTGGGGATTTTATGCTGTCTGGGAGGCAGCTTAAGTCAGTCAGTCTGATTATGCAATACCTCCAGTGGGGGGGCGGGTCTCACCACCACCCACCAGAGCCTAACTAAAATCACGTGCCCTGGGCTCAGATCTGAAGCTGTGCTTTACAGCCCCTTCCCAGCTGGGCAGAAGCAATTACACCAAATTATCCTGTAACCCGGGTCTAATTACTACCCATCATTCTCAATCTGACAAGACCCTTAGCTTTTTAAGGACAACTGAGAATCCCACACAGGATGTGCCACCCCCCCACCCACCCTCAGGACTATGACTCATTCTAGAGATCAGTAAATAGCTAATCCACCCTGCCCCCCAAATGCAGTGCTTCTGCTGAATCAGTTGAGATGATGCCCTTCGCTCCCCTACACACCGTATCCAGGACGAAGATGCTGGCCTTGCGCTGGGATGGGATGAACAAGCCAAAGAGAGCTTTCTGGCCCTGGCAGTGGTGGTACAGGTAGATATGCCGTATGCTGCCTGCAGGGGCAGCAAAGAGTGGCTGTGATCCACACTGCAATCACAGTCATATGGTTCACACCGTCCTCAGTTTGAGATTCCTCTTGCATGGCTATGCGATTCCAGGTCAGGTCAGACATACCAGGCTCCAGGTAGCTGAACTGGGCAAGGGACCTCATCTCCAGATGCTCCAGGTCATAGGTGTCAATCTCCCGGCCACCCAGGCTGCGAACCGCCTGCTTGTTGACCATACAGACGCAGCCCAGCTGCACCAGAGCCCGGAAAAGCAGGGGGACCTTACCCCAGTCGGAGAAGGGACATGGTTAGAAACACACCCACAGGCACCACCCAGCAGCCCAAGGAACCGTCAAAGGAACCATCTAGAACAGGGACCCACCTCTAACATGAGCTTGCTTTCCCTAACGTAATGAATTGCAAAGTGAATTAAGTTCCCTCAGCTAATGTTTGAGGAACCAACACAAATTAAGGTCAAATCTCGCAAAAAAACCACAAGATGTTGGTCTGATTACCTGGGTCTCATAGACCCCTTCGATGTCAGGGGCCGAGAGGTCCGTGTTAATCTCATTGATGTGCTGCTGGTACATGTCTTCCGGTACTGAATACTCATACAAGTAGTAGACAGCGTTTGACCGTGGCAGCATCCGGTTCACCTAGAGCACCATGGGGTGGGGAGACTCCATTACTAATGTGATCCAGAAAGGATTAACACATTCCTACTTCTTTGTTACATCTCTTAGGATGTGTCTATCATTTAATTTGCATTGCAACACGAAACTGCTCAACTGACAAACTGACAGAAGTACGAATGGCTGAACAGATAAGTATCTTTATCCCACCCTGTAAGGAGAACCAAACTTCTACCAAAGTAAATGTCTGTACTTTAAATGCTAATTTATCAGTCTATAAACAGATGCTTTATTTAAACAGGGCCACACAGGCAGAACAGCATCAACAGCGAGTCACAGACCTTCTTGTAGGCAGCCCCCTCCTCTTGTTTGGGCACCTTCTGGTTGACGTAGAACACACGCGGGATATTGAGCTTGATGCAGTGCAGGTCGCTGCCAATCACGGCCCACAGTTTATACAGGCCTGGGTGGCTGGTTTCGGCTATCTGTAGGAGAGAGGAGGGGCTATTCAGAAAGTTCAGTCAGGCATTGAGCTGGAAGAAGAAAGCAGGGAATTCTGGGAGGACTGGCTCACGATACATAAACAGGGGTCAAGGAGGTCGTCAAAATACGTATGTATGTATGTGTATGCATATGTGTAAATATAGGAAACTACAAAAGAGTGAAACTTCCAGCTAATTCAGAAAAGCTCTTTAAAAGGTTGGAAAAAATGCTCATGCATGCTTAGCCTGAATGATTTTTAAAAATTCTGGAAACACTAAAAATGGCAGGTTTGCCAAGTTTTTCCATGCCAGAGATTCAGGGTTACCCACGAGCCCACCTCACAGGTGGACGCGGCGCATCCGGATCAATCCAGATAAAAGGCATCTTCGTCCATTATTATTCACTGAACTCATTTACCAAGCAGGGGAGACTCCGGTGATCTTTCATTAAACCGTGAGCAGCTCCAGCGCAACGGCACACACCTGCACGATCTGCCAGGGCATGTCCAGGATGCTGCGGGCCGTCCGCCGCAGGAAGGTGCCCAGGTCAGTGGTGGCTCTGCCCCCACGGATGACCCCGCCCCCGGCAGGCACGGAGCCCCCATCCACCACCCGCCGGCGCTTCCGGTGTTCCCGCCGCTGGCGGAGCTGCAGTTCCCACTTCTTCTTGTGATAACGGAGCCAGATGAGGTGCTCTTCCTGCGGTGTCAGAGAGACACAATGGGCTGGGTCCTGTGTGCCATCCCTCTTTAAACCATGTTCCAAATGCATTCATCTCACACATGCCAAGCCAAACAGGTTGCTGGGCAGCAGGCAGCTCAGCAGGTTAGGATATATGCTAATATCCGGAAGGTTGTGGGTTCAAGACCCTTAACCTCAACTGTTCCCAAAATGTTGGCTGACTCTGCTCTCTGAACCCATGAATGATGCTTTGGAAAAATCACCGGCTAAGTAAGATGTACTTAACGCCTCTCTGGAGCTTACTAGATGCTCCATCCTGAGCATCTGGTGTGCAGGTATTTTAGTGACCAGGAGGGAGAGCTGCAAGGTGCCCACAGGTAACAGGAGTTCAGGTCTCACCCGCGTTGTGCCCATGGGCGGCGGTGGCCCCAGGATCTCCCTCCAGGACTGGGTGAGCTCCAGCTCCTGCGACTCCACCTGACTGCCATCACCCTGGGAGACTCGCTTGCGCTTGGTGCTGATTAGGATGGCGGGCTGCAGGGGGCGCCGTGGCATCCCAAAGTCCTCCATATCTGGTACACCCCCCGACTTCTGGCTGCCGTCGACCGCTGGCTGGTGGGAGGCCACCTGGGAACAGCAGCAGCATATGGGAACGTTTCACATCACGGCCACTTCCCAGTCAGAGAGGGTTTCTTGCTCTGAAGGACGGGGTAAATTTCATCTAGTACCTTCATTAAAAGCAGCACCCTGTAAGGGTACAGTTACCTTTCATTTTAGTAATTTAATCACCCTTTTCAATAAATCACTTCATACACTTAGAATTTCAAGTTTTAAAATGCTTCTGAAATACACTTAAAGGAAACGGGGAAACGATTCAGAACTACCTGCTGTTCTACCAATGTCAGCAAAGTCATGCAGGTAGACAAGGAGAAGCAGAGGAAATACAAATATGGCTGAAATAAATCTTTCTGGTTTAATAATGGAAAATTGCATTTTTATCCACCCACTAAAGGGACAGGCATGTAATAAGAGTGCCCCCTAGTGGACAGGCACCTGTCTCTTGCCCTCGCTGGTGAAGAGCTCGCTGATCTTCTTCTGCTTGTAGATATCGTTCTTCTCCAGCAGTTTCTTGTGCAGCCAGTCTGGATGACGAACCCTTGGCACTGGGTTCTTCACCTGAATTGCACAAGAACATGCAAAGAACATGGACACATGGAGGGATGTGGGGGGGTCGTACTTCGACATTTACAGAAGGCGAGAAACATTTCTGCTCTGCGGGGGGTCGTCAGTACCTGCTGGAGGGCAGCTGGGATAGTGATGATCTTCTGAATGGCACTGCCAAGCCTCTCAATGTAATAATTCCAGTCGAGGATCTGGAGATGAACACGAGGCCACAAGGAGACAGTATGCAGGTTAAGAAAGTAACTTCAGAGCAGAGGAGATAAAGGATGCATTGGCCTTTGTGGGATGCTGGCTGTTTGTTCACCCCAATAAAATGAGGGCTGGTCTTAAAAAGATTATTCACACTCCAGGCCGCTTTAGCAGAGTGACTAACCACATTCAGCCATTAAAATGCACACGCAGATCAGCCTTGAAAGAGCATACATTCAAATTCAGGTGGAAATCTGAAAAGTACTGTAAGATTTTATAACGGCTTAAACCAGTGGTTCTCAATCCTGTTCCTGGCGCCCCACCTGCCAGAAGGTTTTTGTTCCAACCCCACCTTAATCAGGCTTATACGGTCCTTAATAGGCTAAAGCTGGTTACGGACCGAAGGCAAGCATGCGCTGTGTGCGCCCCGTTCAAAAAAACAAAAAAAGTTCAACAAAGTTCATCTTTGACCACGGTGCTCGCACAAGCACGGAGCACAGCTCAGTGCAGTGTGCGCTGCGTTTGGTCTAAAACCAGCTTTAGCTTAAGGCCCATCTGAGCCTGATTAAGGTAGGGTTAGAATGAACACATTCTGGCAGGTGGGGCACCAGGAACAGGATTGAGAACCACTGGCTTAAACTATTCTGCCTGACAAAGTCAAAACACAGTAACGATGCTGTCACTGAAACTGAGAAAAATGGGGGCTAAACTAAAATATTGTTACAAAATAAAACCGAGCCTAACAGACCCAGTTTGGCTCATAAAACTAATTTTGATAAAAGAGGTAGTGACATGTTTCGCCTTTGTGGGACTGTACAACTGGTCCCAGCAATCCTATAGTGTGATGCTGTTCACAGCCTGTCCTAGGGAGAATGTGGACTCACTGAGCGGATATCCAGGTCGTGAAGACTGGGCATCTTCAGCCATTTGCGCAGGAAGTGCTTCTTGATGCTGGGCTCGGCCTGGAAGATGGCCAGGGGAATAGCCCTGTCGGGGAACCGAGACAGCTGAGGGCCAGATGGCACAACCTCACATTTTCTCAGGACAATGAGAAATAACAAACAACTGCCTCTGTCCTCACATGCTGAAAGATGCCTCATTTAAGGCATTCTGTTCCAGCGAAAATGGGCATCTTCAGCCAATGATGCGTAATGCTTCATACCGAAGCCATGTGGTCAGAACTGGGGGTTCTGTGTCGCTACAGGAAATTGATGGTTATAATTAAATACTAATAATAATGCTTTCATGACCCAGTGAACACCTTTTGTTTCAAAGCAGCTTACAGTTTTGCCGATTCTACTGGAGCAATTCAGCCACACCCTTAGGCTAGGTTTCTGATAGCTGACAGGTATGCTGCCAGCTGCCCTGTACTGACCATCCATCCATCCATCCATCCATCCATCACTGGGGCACAGTGAGCCCAGAACCCATCCAAAGAGGCATTTGGCACAGGACAGGGGACACCCCGAATGGGATGAACTGCGATAAACAGGTCTTGGGCCTCTGCTTCCTGGGATAGGCTCCAGGCTCCCTGCGATCCTGTACAGCAGGATTCCCCAATTCTGGTCCTGGAGGTCCAGTTTGGAATTCCCTGCTCAGACACACCTACTAAACCTGGAAATTAGCCGACTACGATGTGTGTGAGCAGAGAAATCTGCAAACCGCTGGATTCTAGCCTTCCAGGACTGGTCCTAATAAGATTATACATCAGTATCAGCTGCTGGACGTGGCAACCCCAGCTGACCTCTCTGTGACGGGCGAGCCCTCCGGCTTGCGGGAGATGACGTATCGGCAGCTCAGCCCGGCGTCCTTCACCATCTGGTCCCCCAGGAACTCGGCTAGCCGCTTGGCGGTGCTGATGGAGGTGGACTTCTGCGCCCCATAGTCCTCCAGTTTGCGGGACATGGAGCGGTTCTCCGAGATCAGCTCAAACAGCTCGGCGTCTGGCATGTTGGCCGCCTGGGGGGAGGAAGATTATACATTGCGTGTGGTTTCTACTGACACACAAAAGAGAAGGGACTTAGGAGCCAAGATGCAGAGATACTTATCCAAATTATTTGCAAGGAACCTGAAAATTACATTAATTACAATTTTCAGGTAAATGTTTCATTATTTTCACTGCAGGCTTTTTCTTGCAACATTTTTAGTAGAGAATGCTAATAACTCTATTCATAGAGCCAATGACAGAAGAAACGTCAGGGGAGAAGGGAAGAATAACTACACCAACGTTACTTTAAGGACCAGCG